ATGAATTTAGACGGCTGGAAATTTTGTATTAATTATTTCGTTGTCTATTGTTGTTTAGGTGGTGGGTTGACGCAAGATATAGGAGCATAGCAGTGGGTAAGTAGCACAAGGGGGGCGAGTGCGTGGGTTAATTAGTGTTAACGGAAATGGTTTTGCTTCTGATTTTTTATTTTTTTTATTATTAGTTGAATGGTTTTGGTGCTGATTTTTAATTAGTTGAATGGTTTTGGTGCTGATTTTTAAGTTAGAATAATTTATTTCGTGCATTAGAAAATTGATAGCCGTGGTTAGTGAACTCTCAGTGTTTATCGTTGTGTTACGTGTTGTTGTTTCATTGCTAGACATTATCATTTTTGGACTTGAACTCTCAGTGACGAAATGTATGTGTTGATAGCCTGTTACATAGTTTTATATTATTTTGTTGGAAGCTGCTGAGTTAGTGTATTGTTGGTACGAAGAAAAGCATGATGGTAAAAATTGAGCGGTGAATTGAAATGAGAAAAACTTATTTATAGGTTGTCTTTGGAAGATTAGTGGGAATCGTCACGAGCGAAGGGACGGGTAAGTGGTTCGTTAACTTGTGGGGTGTCTGAATTGAAAATGCATGCTAGTCGCATGGTTATTCGAAGCTTTGAGTGAGTGCCTTGGGAATAAATGGCAAGGCCGAACATCAGGTTTCTATGGAGAAGTATTGGGGTCTTGGAAGTAAATGTCAAGAACCAATACGCCGGGTAGTCATCGGTGCCTTCGGAAAAAATGTCAAGGACTGGTGCACAGTTCTAGACCTTGGGAATAAATGGCAAGGTCGAACTTCAAGTTTCTGTAGAGAAGTGTTGGGGCCTTGGGAATAAATGTCAAGGGCCAAAACGATTAGAGGAGTTAAGTACGGAAGACTAACGTGAAGGGGTGCTTAAGATGTAACAGTTCTAGACCTGGGGAATAAATGGCAGGGTCGAACACCAAGCGCTGTAGAGGGAGGTCGGTATCTTGGGAATAAATGTCAAGAGCCATTACGCCTCGAAAAGTTAGACTTGGAGTACTAACATAGAGTGGGAGTGACTGTTAGTTCAAGTATGGACAAGTGCTAGTGGGTAGTGTGGTTGGAGTCCCAGAAGTCTAGGTGTTGGGTTGCTTGTATGGAATTGTTAATCTATTATTATTATCCTGTGCTGCCTATCTGTTGTTCTGCTATTGTTCTTTTGATGTGGTTGTGATTACGAGCGTGTTGCGGTGTTTAGTTAGGGTGGGCTACTTACGGAGTATTTATGTACTCA